AACATTAGTAATGAAAGTTAGTCAGAATCATAACACAAAATTCAAATCATTCTATGAACCCACTGTAGCCTTTGAAGCAAGTGAGTGATGTGTTTAGAATCCCTTTGAGAAAAATTATTCTCTGGAATCTTGAAGGCTTCAGTAAAAAGAAACATGAGTAAGTGCCAGGAGGCCAGTTTGGGTTCCATTGGATAGTAACTGGTGAGTAGTGGTGGAATCTTGGGACAGAGTAGCAGCAGAAGAAACAGTGAGATGTAGACACATTTGAGAGGTACAGAATTCTCTACATAGGCAACAGGGTCAATAGGATTTAGTACTTCAAGGAGCAGTGAGAAAGAGACTGAAGAATAATGCAGTATTGTGCTTTGAGCAATACATCTGTGAATGAGACAGTCTTAAAAAGAGCATGAAAAGCAGAACTAAAATTACAAAAGACGTTTTTTATTTTTAACATGTTGAGTCAGAAATTTATGAGACAACATATATGCAGCAGTTTAATATTTGGGCTTACTGTTGAATGAAAGATGAATTCTAGAGTGTAACATAGAAAGTATTTCAAGTTATGGACTTGGCCCAGGAAAAATAAAGAAAGAAAAAGGTCTTTGGCAAAAAAGAGAATCATTGTTCAGGGACCATCCGGTAACAAGTTGGCTAAGTGATCAGTAACAATTTAGAGAACTATTAGAAAATTACTTCTAGCAGACAATAACAACGAGCCTGAGTTCTAGTTGTCACTGTTGAATCGACATAATAGTTCTTTACTGCATGTCTATGGATTTTGTATTAGAAGAGATATATTTACATCCCTGATAGTTTGATTTACTGTCACTTTTACTTTTTTCTAACTAAAAACATGCCAGTTCTTACATTAGATCCTGAGAAGATGTTCATTATCTCTTATTACTAAGGAAATGTAAGTCAAAACAGAACAGCAATGACGTACCTCCTCACATCTGTGAGAAAGTATGTGGAGAAAATGGCACTATTGTATACTTTTGGCGAAAATGTAAATTGGTACAACCATTATAGAAAGAAGAATGGAGAGTTCTCAAAAAATTAAAAATAGAAATTCTATAAAATCCAGTTATTCTGCTTTGGGTATTTGCCAAAGTATGCAAAAACACTAATTTGAGAGTTACATGCACCCTCATGCTTATCACAGCATTATTTACAATAGCCAAAAGCTGGAAACAACCTAAGTGCCCAATAACATGATTGTATAAATAAGATGATGTACCTAGATTCAGTTTCAGAAAAAAAAAAATATATATATATATATATATATAATTTATCTGTATGAGCCTAATTTCTAAACGTGCTTAGTTTTCAAAATGAAAATGTTAAATCATGATAAAACTTCAAGAATTCCTGCAAAAAAAAAAAAAAAAAGAATGCCAAAAATAAATACTTGGAAGCACCAACTAATCCAGTAAATAGAAAAGATTCACTATGTATTTAATTGACTACTACGTGGGCCAGGAAAGTGTTGCCATAGCTTTCTTTAACCATAAAGAACATAAATAAATATGCTTTAAAATTATTCCTCTTCTTTACCCCCTTCCACCTCCAGTGAGGTAAAGCATATAAAATTGCAGAGGGAAGAAATAGACCTAAACGTGCTATTTTCATACACATAGTTATGATATGGAAAATACTCAGAAACATGCCGGCACATACAGAGCAGAATTCATAATAAAGTTGTGAGAAACCTCCTCATTCCTCCATGAGATTTATACTGGTGGATGTTTCCTAGAAGAAAGCAACAGCACCTGCCCTTGTGCCCTGATGCCGGCCTTCAAAGACTGGAGGGACGTTGAATTGTGTGTGTGTGTATGCACACATGTACTTGTGTCTACAAGAAAGAGATAAAAAGAGAATTTGTGATGAGGGGTGGGGAAGAGTTACTTCTAAGGAGTTAAGTGTACACACTCCTTGTTTGTTTGCTTTATAAATGTGATTGGTTTTCATATTCAAAACGTGTGACTATGGACATATCTTGACAGCTTCAGCAAAGCCTATGCCTGTCATTAGTCCAGTCACTGCCTCCATTTATAGTTGTTTATAAAGTATTAATAGGATCCCTGGGTTTCTTCTGATTTGGAGTCATCAAGGAAAAGAAAAGTCTTATTCTTTTTCTTTCAAGCCATCTTTGCTGACATGTTCTAAAATTATGATTGACTAGAAAAACCTGCCACTAATTTTTTTCCAGATTCAAGCTTACCCTTTCATTCTCTCTACTGCAGAGTGTATTTTTATTTTAAAAATTCTTCATGATACATAGATACAGATATAGATAAATTATCTACTGAGAAAACTGTGTCTCTTTTTATTGGGTCCTATTGGAACCACCTCCATATAGAATGAGAAGGCTTCTCTAGCAAGACAAGAATATCCAACTTGCTCATATAAACACACACAAAAATGAGTATACAACAGTCACCTATAACTTAAGGGAGAAGTAAATATTGAATTACAAAGGCCCTACAGACTACAAATAATATGTAAGAGTATCCTAACAAAAAAATGTTGGAACATCAAATTCAGCACAAGGGAATTGTTTATAGAGGCTTCTGTAATTGACTGATTTGGGTGTAGAGAAGTCATTAGGCTTCATTAGTCATTAGGCACAGATCAATACTCTGACCTAGCAGAGTCAGAAGGACCCTCCTCTAGATTAAAAGAGACCAGGGGAGAATACAGTTATTTGAACCAGTAAAGTGAAGCAGAGGAGAGAGCCTAATGTGAAGCAGAGACCATTCTTGGCACTGAAAGTGTCTTTTACCGATTGCCAAAAAAAGGGATGCAATTCAAGTTTACTCAGTGTCTCTCCACAAGGGCACTATTATCATTAGGGATTTCACATAATGTGTTTTGATACCTACCCTGTCACTTTAACAAAATCCCCACTGATTTCCAATCTCCCTTTGGTCAGTGGGTGATTTCCTCTCCAGTTGATTACCACTGGAAATGAAATGTTGAACAATTGTCCCTGAGAATTTTTAATCTTTGTTTCTGGATCAACCAACCTAGGTCACCAGAAAGCTATATATATATATGAATAAATTGGTTTCTGGATTTTGCCAGGGTCCAGACAGCTGCATCCTTTGTTGTTAGATACTACATTTAAGAAAAGAAAGAGGAAAAGGATTGCTTATGATAGAGCCCTAGTCTTCCCAGAATGTTTGTACCCATCTCATTGGCTAGGACTGTTATATATAACAATTTACTGTGAAACAGTTTGGGAAAGTATTTCAAATAGTAACATCACTACCCTAGCAAAATTCAAATACTTGTTTTAAGTAATGAATATGGGGAGTGGCATAGGAAAAAAAAGCAACATCTCTCACACATGTGTATATCTCTTATTTGTTTGCTGTGGGTAAATGAAAGTAATATGAAGTATTACATCCTTTCTTCTTAGACAGGTTATAATCTATATAAGAATTAATACCTGAGAATTAATAAATAGCAAGCTTATAGTATAGTTACTCATTTATTGTAGCAACAATCTAGAGCAAAATTAAAACATTGTGCCACTGGCATGTTTGAAGATCTCCAGAAAACTACAACCTGAGTATGAATGCTTAAACTCTTAAACCTTCCTTTAGCTATATTTCCTATTCTAACCATAATCTCCCATAATTCATCTGTGAGATCTTTTTATTTTTATGTCCTTAGGATAGTTTTAGCATAGTATTTGTGAACTGTATAAAGCATAGAACAGAACAATAGAAATCAGAAATATATAAAAGGAAAAGGAGTCTATATTTGAGTTATCGTTGATAAATCAATTAATGACAGGGATGTTTGATCTAAAATGTCACATCTCTTTGGTTGTGCCAAAGATGGGGTTCAGCACCCCATTTTACTTTTCTGTTTATTACATCTTCCCTAGCACACCAACTGTTTCTCTAGTACTTCCCTTTTCTCAGTGTGGTGAATGTGTCTTTATTTTTTGGGTAGTTTCATTGCGTTTACATTAACTAATCTGTTTTGTGTTTTTGGTGTTATAGCAAAAATGGCACTTCCAAATTCAGTGTCATGAAGCTTCCACTCTTTCCCTGTGTTTTCTTCTAAGAGTTGTGACATTTTAGGTGCTTACATAAAGAGCTATGAGTTTTACATATATATGTGTGTGTGTGTGTATACATATGCTTGCATGTATGTATACACACACACACACACACACACACACACAAATTAAGGGTCTAACTTCATTATTTCTCATCTGGATATCCAGTCCTCCCAGCGCCATTTGTTATAAAAGCTGTTCCTTCTACATCTATGATCTTGGCATCCTCTTTAAAAATCAATGAATGTGTATGCTAATTGTGGACTCTGTTCTATCCCATTGGTGTATATTTCTGTCTTTTTATCATTACTATATTATACTGTTTTGATTACTGTAACTTTGTATTAAGCTTTGAAATTAGCCATGTGAGATCTCCAGTTTTATTCTTTAAGATTGTTTTGGCTTTTTTACAGTATATTTATAGTCTATATGAGTTGGGGTGATTTTTTTCTAGTTTCACAAAATAATGCCATTGGGACTTTTTTTAGAAATTGCATTAAATTTATATCCCCTTAATAATAGTAACATTTTGATTACTTGTAGTAGTATTGTCTTTTTATCCATGAAAATGTGATGTCTTTCCATTTATTTGTGTCTTTATTTTATCAATATTTTGTGTTTTTCAATGTACAGGTCTTATCTCTCTGGTTAACTTTTTTTCTAACATTATTTTTCCTTTTTGATGTTATTATACATGTAGTTATTCCCTTAATTTGCTTGTTGGATTATTAACTAGTAATATACAGAAAGGCCACTGATTTTTGTGTTAGTCTGTGAATTCTTAGAAGGCAAAAACTATGCCTTATTTATATTTGTCAGAGTTATACAAATATATTAATTGGTAGCAGTTGACATTTATTCATTTTTTGTATTTTTATTTTGCATTGGCATTAATATTTGTCAACTTTTATTTTTTCTCCCACTTTAGGGCTCTACTAGTTCAACAGCTTCTCCTCCAGTATCCACTCCTGTCACAGGACACAAACGAATGGTCATACCAAATCAACCTCCTCTAACAGCTACCAAAAAATCTACATTGAAGCCACAGCCTGCACCCCAGGCTGGACCCATCCCTGTGACTCCAATTGGAACACTAAAACCTCAGCCTCAGCCAGTTCCAGCCTCCTACACTACAGCATCCACTCCTTCAAGACCTACTTTTAATGTGCAAGTGAAGTCAGCCCAGCCCAGCTCTCATTACATGGCTGCCCCTTCATCAGGGCAGTTTTATGGCCCAGGGCCCCAGGGCTATAACACTCAACCATATTCTATGTCTGGACAGTGTCCGCCTCCTTCAGCACGAGGTGGCATGGATTACACATATATTCCACAACCAGGAATTCAACCTGAGCCTGGGTATGGTTATGCCCCCAACCAAGGACGATATTATGAACCTTACTGCCCAACAGGGCCCAGCTATGGGGGCAAGAGTGATCCTGACCCAGCCTATATTCAGCCAAATCACCCAAATACCTGGAAGCGGGAACAAGGATACACTCCTTCTGGAATAGGGAACCAGAATCCTGCCGGCATGTATCCAGTTGGTGGTCCCAAGAAGACTTATATTACAGATCCTGTTCCAACTCCCTGTGCACCGCCACCACAGTCAAAGGTAGGAAACTCATTAACATAGTTAGAAAACACAGAGGTGCCTATAATGGCATGTGTTTCTCAGAAAAAAAAAAAAAAGCAGAACTTAAGGCAAAAACATGAGTTACTCTTTTATTTCACATGAAATGCAATCCCAAGGAAGTGTGAGCTTAAGTAGAAAAGAAGGGGCATCATTTTGGTTGACACTGGGATATATTACAATATATGGTTACTGTTTAGTGTCAAGTGCAACTAATTGTGCAATTTTGAAAAATAATTTTCCAAGTGACATTACTAATTGTAGCACATCAAGACATTGGGGTAAAACAGAAAAATTATCGTGCAGCTTTTGTCTCCTGTTGTTACAGCTTCATTCTGTAGATGAGAAACTTACACTTAGATGTCACATTTACTTGGGCACAATATAGACCTACAACATCTACTTATAAATGTTAAATGTCTTGCTATTTATTTTGAATTATTTTTTTACTTTATTGGGATAATACTGGTTTATAACAATGTATATGATTTAGGGGAACAGGCTCACACCTTTTCAGATATAAGTCCCGACACTCCCTCACTGCTAACGCAACTGTTATCCTTTACTGTATACCGTTGGGTCTCCTACCTGCATGTTCTTACCCTTACCTTTCCCCTGACTAGCCTCATTTCTGCAGTCCATTTTCTAGGATTTTTAGTTAGTTCCTTTGTTTTATTTCTCTGTATTCCATGTATGAGTGAAATCATCCAGTATTTCTTGCTCCTTCTGATTTATCTCACTTAACATCGTCCCCTGCACTTATATCCATGCTGTCACAAATGGCAAGAAATCACCTTTTTTACAGCCAAGCATTATACCCCCTCAATTATTTATAATAGACAAGTTATGGAAACAACCTAATTGCCCTGTGACAGAGAAGTACAATAAGACTATGTTAAATTTTTGGTTTCATTTAAAAGAGTTGTCCATTATAGTCAGGCTAGATATCCTTTTCCTGTGTTAACATTATAGCATTTTTGTGTTAGAACCTGACAGCCCCAAAAGCTACCAGTAAAAAAAAAAGAGAGAGAGAGAGAGAGAGAGAGAGAGAGAGAGGTGAGATTATTGAATTTTACCTCACTTTGGTACAGCTGAAAAAATTCCCCTGTGGAAATTTAAATCATTAGTTTTTGACAACTGTTGTCGACACACAAGTTGAAAATGTTTTGCAGTTTTATCCTGTCCACAACAACTTGACTGACAGGATGACTGAGTGTTATTCCTCAGGGAATGAATTAGGACTTGTATTGTTTAAGAGTCCGATCACCCCTCCTAGGGAAAAGCAAATAAAACAGCAAAAGTCTATCTAGGTGGTGAGAATAATCTGTTGAGAAGTACTGAGTCATTCTTCAAGTTTTCTTGTTTTCCCATCCTGTCACTTGGTAGTCTGGATATCTGTCTCCAACATTTGGAATTAGTTTAGTGATGTAGGAAAAAAGAGCACCCAAAGCAAGAATACAATCAAAGATGGTGGATCAAACCATATTGCTAGCATTTAGACTATCTTCATCCTACTCAGAGTGATGCAATGAACTTCCTCAACTCACCAGAAAGCACAAACCTATTTTCATGGTTGGAATAAGGTTATTATTCAAGTTGATTCTATTATAATATTTCAGATTCTAGGTATCAGTGGAGTTAATGTATTTTTTTTTAATAATTTTGAAACACTTGATTTTCACCAGTGTTCTGTTTAACACCTTATTCAATCGCACATTTTAAATATTAAGGTCAAATCTTTCAGTTTCTCTGTGATTAATAACTGTGTGGCTAGGGGTGAATTTTAACCATTTGTCTATGTTTTGAGAAAAGGGAAAGAGACAGGCAAAGCTGTAGGTGGAAATTTTGCATTGGGAAATGAAGAGTGGACCTTTGCACAGATAGTCCTTAAGCAGAAAAGGGCTGTATTCAACTGCACCTGTGCACAGAGAACCTTATTGCCCTGTTACGGACTTTGCTTGGCTTTATGATATGACTGCTGATTTAAGAAATGGGGTCCCAATTCTAGTTTCATGCCTCTTTTGCCATTCTTCTTTCATCTTGAGAAAAGCCTATAGACATTCACCATGTCACACTTGTTTTAGCCTCAATGGAGTAGAACCCCATCACTAATTAATGACTGATTGCAAATGAGTAGGGCTTTTCCAAGGATTGAATAATTGTCAAGTGAGTATTTTTTTTAGCTTTTAAATTATTTTTTTTTAGTCACTAATGTAAAACTTACCTTATCTGTGCCTTAAAACAATCTTTCACTCTAATGTGAATTCTTAAGAAATTTGATATTAAACCCATCAGAAGAAGTTAAAAAAAGCGAAAGAAGCCAATTTCCCCAGCACTTGAGATGAACTACCTTAAATTCCCTATATCATAACACATTAAAAGGGAATGACAGTGTTTGCTTCAGCAGCACATATACTAAAATTGGAACGATACAGAGAAGATTAGCATGGCCCCTGTGCAAGGATGAGATGCAAATTCGTGATGTGTTCATATTTGTATGGAACAACAAAAAACCTCGAATAGCCAAAACCCTCATGTCTAAGAAAAATCTAAAT